ATTAAAACTAAATATTTTCTTTAGGAACCTACTACTCTTTTTAGATTCAGTAGGATTCTTCCCATTTGAGGGTGTTAACAGTTTGCAAGAGTATGGTGGCCCTTCCTTTAATTCTTCTAGATCGACCTCGCTCTCTTCGTCAGTTATAGGGTCACTAGATGTCTCTGGATCATCATCATCCACTTCAACATATGCTACCCTTTCTCTTCGATGATTTTTATTCGCCTTAGCTTTTTCAGTCTTAAGGCGTTCTATCTGTCGAACTCTATCGGCCAATTGGGCCACATCTCTCAGGTATTAGGTATCTAATTTCTTCCAAAAGGAATAATCTAGGGACTAAAACTCTATTTTTTTTATAGGGACTAAAAGCCAAAATTGAGATATTTATAGAGACCAAAAACATATTTAACCCAATAAAATAATAATAACAATTATTATTTTACTAATTAAAGTAATTTGATAAAATCATGTGGCTAATGTAACACAATGTTTTTCCACCACAATACATAAGACAATGTTTGGCTTATTTTTCATTACCGGCACATCGTCATCACTTTATTGATTTCTACAACAACTTTCGTGCTAACATATGTTGTATCCTTCACATATGCTTTTCCGAAACCGATATTGTTGTAACATTTCATATTCATTTTAAATATAATAATAACTATTAATATTATATTATAAAACAAATAAATTTTATAATAATAACAATAATAATAATAATAATTATTATTATTATTATTATTGTTATAAAATTTTGTAAATCTGATACACAACTCTTGTGTTGTTACAAACCCAAATTTTATAACTCTTGACAATACAACTCTTGTATCGTCATAAACTCTAATGTAACATATTAATCCTATAAAAAATGCGATGATCAATTATTCAATTAAAATGATTCAAACGTCATTGCTCCATCATACAAACGTCAGATTCTGAAGCAATAGAACATTGATCATTCATATGAAACTCAATCATCACACTCATTGAATCATAAAATAAAAGGCATATCAAATATGTTGTAGTTGCATCTAAATTATTCATATCTCATATGAAATTTATCGATCACTTTTATGTAACTTACGGATGATCCATGTATCGCCGCTTCACCGTACAAAAGTCGAATTCCAAAGCATAGTCAACATCAAATCATCCAAATCATACACAAATGATGCAAACAATTAATTTTCTTTATTATTTAATTTATTCTGTGTTTTAATCGAATTAAATCAGAAAGTACAGAAAATAAATATCTACCCAATTCATAGTTTCGTAAGTGGCTCCGATACCACTGAAGGAAAACCACGATTCAAAAACACAGTGGAAATTAAAATTTTCCTTTAGTTGATCCTTACGAACGAGCATGATCAATGATAAAACAATTGTCTGTTGTGGTGATTAACAACTTTGCTGCAAAAAACAGAGGATTGATCACGAGTGTTGATGAAGAACAACACATCTACTCAATCCACACGAACATACAACCTTCAGTCTTAGTGCTAACTACTATGAATGAAGGCTTTGTGTGTGTGTGTGTGTGTGTGTGTGTGTGTGTGTGTGTGTGTGAGAGAGAGAGAGAGAGAGAGAGAGAGAGAGAGAGAGAGAGAGAGAGAGAGAGATGACCAGAGTTTCACAGACCTAATTTCACCAATCAGTAAAGCTTATGCTCAAGAGTTGTATTTATAGAATCACTTGTGTAGGATACAAGCTAAAAAGTTCAACTTAAATGCACCATATAATAATAATATATTATAATAAATATATTTTATTAATATTATATTTTATAACTATAATAATAATAATAATAATAATAACTATTATTATATTATATGACGTTCCATATTTCAGTTAAGTGCACCGTACTTTACGGAGTTCCATAATTTTCTCAAGTACACTATACTTTACTGTGTTTCTTATTTATTCTATTTCTCATCAATCTGTCTTTATGTGTGTGGTCCTGTAAGTTCTCGTGACGTTGGCAATTATATTAAACCATACATTTAATATAATAAATAATGAGCGGTATCTAGCAACACATCACTGCTACCCAAGTCACGAAAATATCATGTGATCTGACAAAACATTTTATGTGATAACATTTATATGTACAATTACCCTTTTGCTCCCATGTCTATATTGAACACAAGGCATAGACCGTGTCACTCTTGTCCAGTTCAATATTGGGCCCTTAAACATTTATTATGTTACGGAGGATGGGCAAATTCCATCTAGGTCACTCATGTTCCTCACCATGCTTTCTGGAGTATCCATCAACTGTCTTTATGGTCATCCAGTTACGGGCAACATTTAATCATCAATAAAGTACTCGACTTCACATCTAGAATCCATAGTGGTTTCAGGTCGAAGGGTGTATACACCACTATCATATGAGAATAACTTATGACAATTTGCATAACTTTCTATGTAGTGTTTTTATAGCGGATCAATCCAGTATAAATATTACTTCTAATATTCATACCTATGTGAAGACCTGATAAGTCTTTATCCATGATCCATGAGATGTAATCATCAGCCTATCCACATAATAGTCTCAATGCTTTAATGTTATCCCCCTTCACAATAAAGCTCGACTACAAATACTTTAAGAATAGTTATCTTATATTTAATGAGATCTCATGATTAAGTAACACTTAATATTTCATTAAACAAATTAGCTATTCCAGAGACTTTATTATTTTAGTAAAATAAACATAATAAATAATTGTCTTTTAATTATTAATAAATAATTTGATACAAGTATCAAAACTATTGGCCTATAGGACTTACACCAACACAATCCTCCACACTTGTAACATCTCAGAGAAGCAAAAGCTTCTCCCCCACTTGTTTCAATCTCGCTTATACTAACAAGCGGTTAGAAAAACTAACGAGTATCGAAGAATGAATCACAAATAAATTTAGACAGTGACATATGTTTTGAATTATTTTAATTGTAATATAACAATGTAACATATTTTTGTATGTAACACACTGTTGTTTATCCGTATTTTGGAAAATAATTGTTAGCCTTTAAAACGTTACTTGTAGGATTGACTAGTAAATCCTAAGACTCATTTGTGTGCGAATTCTTAAGAAAGTGTTAGATTGTTGTTGTAAAAGTAGATATGACTTTAACTTTATAAGGAACGAAGAATATAAGTTGTAAGAAAAAAAGGGAATTCAACCGTGTCGAGATCCTTATAAAATGCAGTGTAAATAGAAAAACTAAATTGTTGAAAAACACAAGTGAAAAGTAAAGGAAAAGACTTTGCTTAAATATATAAAAATTTGTGTACAGGATCATACATATTTGCTCAGTGACTCATTTCTCACTCGCGTTTGAATACTTTGAGATTTTTGGAGTTTTGTAATGATATTTTCACCTTGAATCTTAACTCTAGAATCCCTATATATACTAATACATAAATAACTACCTACAATTGTTCTATTTCTAACGATCAACATTTATTTCAATGCATGTCCTCCAATCTTTTAGTTTGCTTTCACGTGTTTTCTCTACATAGATAAGAACAAAAAATAATTATTAAAAAAAATTCTATTTCTAAAGAGAAAATATTTAAGTGAAATATAGTAATTAATTGAATAATAAAATCATAATATATTAAATAAAGGTAAACTTTTTTAATATACTTTATACTTTTATGGTAACTTTTAAATATTTTTTGATCACAATTTCTTTTAGAAACTTTGATTGAAATATAATAATTAGTTGAGTAGTAAAATCATAATATTTTAAACAAAGGTAAATTTTTTTAATATACTTTATATATTTATGGTGATTTTTAAATATTTTTTAATCACAATTTTTTTTAAATTTTTGATTAAAATATAATAATTAATTGAATAATGAAATTATAATTTTTAAAATAAATTTCTAAAATAATAAATAATAAACTTTTAAAAAATCAAACATTGATATTTACAGAATTAAACATAAAAATTTCATTAAATAAAATATATTATGAAAATGATTTCCACCAATTTAATCCGATTCGAAGAATCACTTTTGATATCAAATAATTTCAGTCTCATTTCAATTGATTCCAATGGTGAAAAATCGTACAATAATTCTCTTTTATCAAGTCCAATATAAATCCATATTAAATCAATTAAGTTAAATAATTTAAAAATTTAATGTAAATATAAACATGTATAAGTTAATTAAAGTTGATTTTTTTCATTTAGGCTTTTTGGCCCGTTCTCATTTAGTTTTAATTCTTGAACAAATGTATTAAAGCGCTACTTGAAATAGAACCCAAAGAAAAACTCCGGTTGAACTTTGGTTAACGTTAAAATTGAAGCTTCTTGATACAAGGAGATAAAGCCAAAAATCCTAACAATATGTTAAAAAGCAAGCACAAAAGGTTGTTGAAAATAAAAGGACTCGTAGGTTGGCTACACCCTACGTGTGAATAACTCTCAGAACAGCATATGTCATTTTAGCGGTACTCCAACGGTCAAGTTGTAGCATTATGACAGCTCAGTAGCTTTTTTCTTAATGAATGCTGACATGGACACCCCTCTTATTCACATTAATCAATGGATGTCTATTTAAACCCATTTTTATCATTTTTTTACAAAAATTTCACAAATCAGTATCAACCGAAAATCACCTACAAATCCAACATTACTTGAGAAAATTCGGGTCAATTGTACACAAATACTACTCCAAATACCAACCGAATCCGGGTTCACTTAGTAGGAAGATAATCCGAATCTGCATTCCAATTACCGACGTAATTAACTCACACGTGTCGATCCACAAATGGTCGCACGTGGCTTATAACGGAAAACCAGAAGCTTATACTTTAAGAAGGACCCACACTACACTCACCTTTCTTAATCTCTCTCACCCCATTCTTCTTTACTCAATTATTCATTTTTTTTAATTATTCTTCATCTTCATTCTTTCTTCTTCTCTACTATTCATTCTTCACATTCCAAAGGGTTTTTCAGAGCTTCTTCACTCTCTAATGGCGGAAGAATTTTGCAGAGCCGTTGACGACGGCATAAAGCTCTCCAGACGTATATACTTCGGCAAAGACAGAGCCGTTGCACCGCCGAAGCCTCCGACGATGACGGAAAGGTCATCAAACGCGCTTCTTCCTAAAGCACCGATGGTTTACGCGGTGATTTACGATCCAGGGATGGTTGATAACCCTGACATCGCTAGCTACCAACCTTACGTGTACGGACGGTGCGATCCTCCGGCACTTATTCCGCTTCAGATGAACGCAGTTGAGATGGAAATTGACTGTTATCTTGATACGGCGTTTATCACCGTCTCCGGTACTTGGAGACTCCACTGCGTTACCGGTAGCCGCTCCTGCGATTGCCGTCTTGCCATTCCCGTCGGCCACCAGGTACTTTTGAAGTTTCCGATTTCCCCTATTTTTTTATTCGTATCACGTTATAGTTAATGCTTTACTTTACTTTTCTTCTTTTGACACATGCACAACGGTCTTTATTGTTTTTTAAACCTAACTAGTAACTCTTTATGTTTTTTATTTTTGTTTAATTCAAGCTTTTTAGAATGTGAAAAAATTGAAACTAGGAACGTTATGTAGCACGGACACTTGTGCAGCGATACACTTGTGATTGCATTTAATTTATTATTTTTTCAAATTTTGATCAGTGTCGCCTTGTCGGGGTCGTGTTTGGCATGTTCGTGCTTCATATATTATTTTTTTCATCCAAGAAATGCTTCTTATGTTTCTTCTTTTTTATCTGTTTTTGTGTTTTTCTGATATGATTTGGCTAACAGGGTTCAATTCTAGGTGTTGAGGTTAATGCTCCTAGAAAATCATATTCAACTCAGCTGGTAGTTATGGATGAAAACCAAAGTGCTACACCGGCTCAAAATGGAGGTTATCTTAAATCGAATATATTTACTTTAATTATACCAGAGGTGAATATTTGGAATTGGATAGTGTGTTTCTATATCTGTTTAATCTAGTGGGTAGTTTTTAATATGGTGTTGTTTATGTTTTTGGATGTGGTTTTTAACAGATCGATGGGGGTTCGAATTTATCAATTAAAATGCATTGGTCTCAGAAAGTAGAATGCTCCAATGGTGAGTACTCTTTGAATGTGCCATTCACTTTTCCAGATTTTGTTAATCCTACTGGGAAGAGAATGTCGAAAAGAGAAAAGATACGACTGAATGTGGATGTTGTTGCTGGAAGTGAGCTTCTGTTCAAGACAACTAACCATCCCCTAAAGGTTCGTATTTGGTTGAATTTTCACGTATGGGACCACTGCAGTGTTGTCAGTGATGAATTGCAGAAAATAGCTGTTTGTTCAATTTTCATAGTGCTATAAATGCTATTTGACAATATTTTGTACTTTAGCTTTCAACAAAACAATAGTAGTTTGCCAGTTTCCTGAGAGGTCACTTGGTTGTGTGTTTCTACTTCAATCTTGTGGTACTCAGCTTGAGACTTGGCACCAAAAAAAAAAAAAACAATAGCGGTTTTTTCTTTTCCAAATTCTGCTATGCTATAGTACTATAACGCCACTACAGCGGATATTGAACAACACTCACCACTGTTAAATTCACAGAAGATATAATCGACTACCATTTTATTCTGATTGTCCAGGAAGTGAGGCGGCATGCTGGGAGTATGGGTTTCTTATGTGATAACGAAGTTCTTTCATGGTCAAAAGATGATTTTAGCGTTTCTTATGTAGTAAGACCTCTGACTATTTTATTCTACTCTTTTCTTTGTAGCTTCTTCAGTGGTTGAAAGATTATATCTTATTAGCTTGTTACATTGTTACCTGCACTTAGGTCTCCTCAAGTCATATAAATGGAGGTGTTCTCTTGGAATCTGCATCTGCGCATGATTTTGATCAAAGAGAGATATTCTACATATATCTTTCTCCTGGTGATATTCAAAATAAAAATAAGAAGGTTTGTACACTAACTCTAAACTTGGAGTGTGTGGTTTAAATTGTTTTTTATTTTATTTTTAAATTCTCACTTCTAATCTTACTTGACATTTAGGTATTCAAAAAGGACATAATATTCATCATCGACATCAGTGGAAGCATGCAGGGAAAGCTGATGGATGACACAAAAAATGCACTACTGTCAGCTCTCTCTAAGCTTAATCCTAATGATTTATTTACAATTATAGCCTTTAATGGAGAGAGTCATCTATTTTCGAAATCGATGGAATTGGCTTCCAGTGATGCTGTAGAAAGGGCCAGTGAGTGGATCAGCACAAACTTTGTTGCTGGGGGCAGTACAGATATTTCACATCCCTTAAATACGGTATTACCAAATAGTTATATGCAGTTTTTCATAAGCATAAAGATTATGAGAGTATTGAGCAGTGGTTAATACTGAACCAACATGTTATGTACTGGACATACAAATCAATCTATGCTCAACTTTCAGTGTAAACTGTGGAAAACTCATTGCTTCATTCTGCTTCATTAATATATATTATTGGGTAGAGTGCATTTATGTATTTGTTCTCTTTTCTGTTCAGGCAATAGAAATGCTGTCCAGTGCTCAAAGTTCAGTTCCAATAATTTTCCTAGTTACAGATGGAACTGTTGAAGATGAGAGACAAATTTGTGCTCAGGTAAAAAATCATATGATCAATGGAGAGTCAATATGCCCTCGAATATACACTTTTGGTATAGGTATGACTATGACTTCTAGAGTACTTTGAACCTTGATAGGAATTTTTCTTTATTAAACCCTGTTTAGGTCTTGTTCTTAATTCTTCCAATTTGTATTAAGCAATTGTAAAAATTCCTCATTCAATCTCAGGTTTATTCTGCAATCATTATTTCTTGCGGATGCTTGCTAACATTGGTAGGGGCCAATATGATGCTGCACTCGATGTAGGTAAGTTTTTAGCTAAATTTTTAAAAAGTACATAGCATTTCGTACTTGCTTATTTCATTTTTGTTGCAAGTTAGATTTTAGAGAATTTTTGTTTATCAAACCATGTCAATCTCTCTCCCTCTCCGTTGTTGAAATGCATAAATATTAGCAGTCATATAGAAACTCTCACTTTTAAATTTTGTATTCATTCTGTATTTACTAGTAATATAGTAGCTGTCCCTATTTTTTGAATTGCCAGATTTGATTGAGCCTCGAATGCTGACATTGTTTGAAAAAGCTTCATCTCTCATTCTTGCAAATATCAAAATGGACATGTTGAATGAAATCGATCAAGTTGAGGTAAAAAAACTTGTCTTGCTTCTTTCTTTTCATTCTTTCTCATTGTCATTGAAGGTGTGAAAAATACAAGAAAGGGGGTCAAGGGGGTTTGACTTGAGTTTTAAATAAAAAAAAATTCTTTAAAAATAATCTCTTTTAAATAAAATACATTTTCCCCACTCTTGATAATAACAATAATTAAGAACAGAAAGTAAATAACAAGGTATATTTATACTAGTTCACTTGAAAACTATTAAGCTAGTCTTGTCCACCCCTGCAAAGGTGATTTCACCTTATCAAACAAGGATTTAATCCAATAATCAAACTGATTACTACAATGCACAATAATCAAACTGATTACTACAATGCACAAGCTAACTGCAAGTGACTAACATTACAACCTTTAAGACACACTAATCTTAGACTTCTCAAGGATTTTGACGTAACTGGTCCCTTGAGGAAAATAAAACAACAGTTTGAATCAAGTTGTGTTTACAAAAGATGTGCTGCTTAACAAGCTAATATGTAAACAGTGCCAAGGTGATTTCACCTTATCAAACAAGGACTTAATCCAATAATCAAACTGATTATTACAATGCACAAGCTAAACTGCAAGTGGCTAACGTTACAACCTCTTAAGACAAGCTAATCTTAGACTTCTCAAGGATTCTGACCTAACTGTTCCTTAAGGAAAATCAAACAATTGTTTGAATCAAGTTGTGTTTACAAAAGATGTGCTTCTTAACAAGCTAATATGTAAACAGTGCCAAGGACTTAATCCAATAATCAAACTGATTATTACAATGCACAAGCTAACTGCAAGCAAGTGACTAACGTTACAACCTCTAAGACACACTAATCTTAGACTTCTCAAGGATTCTGACCTAACTGGTCCCTTAAGGAAAATCAAACTGTTGGAATCAAGATGTGCTTCTTAACAAGCTAATATGTAAAGAGTGTTTCACTATATAAACTAAAGAGAAATGAAAAGCGTATAAACAGTCTTTCGAGAGTATGAATCAGTGAATTAGCAGTTTTTTCTCTTAGTCTTCAAGTCCTTTATATAACCAATAAAATAATATATCCGTTGAGGGGGTACTCTTGGAATTTTCAAAATCTTTGGCGGCTTGAATCACGTGGGGGACAGGATCGTGCGACGCGTCCGTCCTTCATGGTAGTGGAATGAAACGTTTTGATTGTACCATGTACTATTGTACCACATTAATATTATCTTCTTTCCTTCTGTACTTTAGAGGCTTCTGCGAGCATGAACTTAGAAGAGAGAACATAACACTAAGGTCATCAAAACTTCAAGTCTTCAGAGTCTTCAGAATTGCGTCTTCAAAGTCTTCAGCACTTGGTCTTGAGAACCTTTTCCTTTTCTAGAACCTTGGGTCTTCAGAACTTCAAGTCTTCAGAGTTTTCAGAACTTCGTCTTCAGAATCTTCAGCACTTGGTCTTTGAGAACTCTCTGTCTTCAGAAACATGAGTCTTCAGCATCTGGACTTCAGTAGAAACTTCTGTCTTCAGAAACCTGAGTCTTTAGCATTTGGACTTCAGTAGAACTTCTGTCTTCAGATCTTCTGACTGATTTCTTTAGACTTCATACCAAAGTCTACACTTCAGAGTCTTTTGGAGTGCCTTGCTACTGTTTATCAGAACTTGTGTAACGCAGAAGCGGAACTTATCTCTTCCAATGTCTTAGCCACGCCATTCATCAGAAGCAAAACTTGTTTGATAGATATTCACAAGTAACACACATTAGAGTATCAAAATTGTTCATACAAAGATACTCTTTGTTATCATTAAAACTCAAAGATAAAGTTGTAGAACAAAATCTTGTTCTAACAGTCATGACCATAAATATGCTTTGTACTATCCAAAAACGACTATTTCTCTTAAAGATTATTCTTTTTCCTTTTGTTTTATCTGCTTATGTGTCATATAATCTGCTTATATGTATGAATAAGAATTAGGATAGACATGCATAAAGCAAAAAAAATGACAAAATATTAACAAATGCAATATAGAAATAAGAAATTTTAAATAAGAAAATAATCATAGAAGAACATACAAATAAAACATTTATTGAAATTAAATTAATTAAAAATAGAAGGGAATTTAACCAGATAAAATAACCAGAGTAGTTGAAGAGGCTCACACTTAAACAAACATACAAAAAATGGAGGTTTGTACTGAAGAAAAAACTGAAGTATTTGGGGATTCGTGGTATATACCTACAGTTTTGATCATCTGGTTTCCGTTTATACTTTAGAATGTTGTTTGAAAATGAAAACCAATATATTATGCCATGAAGGAACTGAACTTTTGCATATCCTGGAAATTATTACTATTTACTTTCTGTTACATGTATGTTTGAATTTTGTTAATTTTCTCTGATCTTGTGTCTCTTATGGCAATATCTGAAATTTGTTGTGATAGGTATATCCGTCCAATATCCCAGATCTTTCATTAGAGGGTCCGTTGGTTTTATCAGGCAGATACAAGGGAAATTTTCCTGAAACTCTTAAAGTCAATGGTATCATGGCTGATTTTAGTAATTTTGAAATAGATTTGAAGATACAGAGGGATAAGGGCCTACCTGTACAAAGGGTAAAATATTCTTCTTTAGTGTACTCATGTTTTCTTGTTTTTTTGAAATTATGTCTACTATTTCTGTAGAGGAGATTCTATATTTTGTTCTTGGGTGCTGCATGAGCAAAACTATTTCATGTTTATGTGAACTACTTTGAAGAAAATGTTTTTAACAGTTGGGTCATGTATAATGAGTTTTATAAGACCTGATAAATTAGGATCAAGGCAAATTTAATATATTCTTTTTTTCTTCATCTATCGTCGAGTCTTATATTAGTATACAAAGAACCATTAGTTTATCGGCCATCTTTATCTTTCTTCACTATGTCTGTGATTTATAAATACATGCTTGCTTCATCTTATTCTCAGTCATGGTCCTTTCATCCTAAACTAGATGCTGCTCTGTGAATAAACTTTCCATAGTTATTATTGCTCATTATATTGCTTTATCTTCTCTTCCACAGATTTCTGCCAGAGATCAAATAGAGCATCTTACTGCTCAAGCATGGCTTTCAGATAATAAACAATTAGAACAAAAGGTTGGTAAATATTTCCTATGCTATCACTCTACTCACTGTTTGCATTCTATTCAATAAATTTTCTTATCTTATGACACATTATTTAATTAGCAGGTTGCAAAACTGAGCCTGCAGACTGGCTTTATATCTGAGTATACAAGTATGATAATGCTTGAGAATGATCATCTAAAGAAAACCAAGGAATCACCTGGAGCGAAAGAAGTAAGTATCAGCTGTCTGTTTTCTTATGGATTTCTTATTTTGTTATATATAATATATAACATAGATTAAAACCCCAGTAAAAGCTTTACTAAACATTACTTTTTCAATAATTTTGAGCAGGTGTCAAAAAACTTTACTAAACATTACTTTTTCAATAATTTTGAGCAGGTGTCAAAAAAGAAACATTCTAAGGCAAATGACCAAGGCCAGAAAACAATTTTACTCCCACTCTTAGGTATCGGCTTTGGCAACTTAACTGCAACAACGCAAAATACTCCTCCAGGATATGAACCGAAGCCTGAAATGCCTGAAATCTTTAAAGCGGCCTCAAATTGCTGTGACATGGTGTGTGGTTACTGCTGTTGCATGTGCTGCATCCAGTGCTTTTCCAAGATGAACAACCAATGTTTAACTGTATTGAATCAACTTTGCATTGGTCTCGGATGCCTTGCCTGCTTTGAATGTTGTTCACTATGCTGTGGTGGAGACGACAATTGAAATCTACTCTTTTTCCAGATTATTGTATTTTATTGCATAGAAATATCTATTTATATAGTTCTTCTGGAGATGTATATGAGTAAAGTCTTTTGTTTTAATGTAACAGTTGCTTCTGTAGTGTTGTTGTTGTATAGCTTTTTAAGGATAGTGGTGCAGGTTTTAAACTTTGCCATAGAAAGTAAACTATACTGAGAAAGAAGAATTTATATACTGAGAGAATTTATACAAGAAAGTGAAAATTTTGTGAAAAGTTTCTGTAGTGCAATTTCGAATCTGTTTCACACTATATTACCTTTTATGCAACATTAAGTTCTGGGTGAAAATTTTCCCTACCATGGTTAAATTTGTTTTTAGCCCTTGATTTAATGATTTAAAATTTTGAAGTATTCAATGGTTGTGATTGAAGTCAACTTGCTTGTTACCTACTGCATACATGAACGTGTCCATGAAATTTGAGTCAAATATATTATTCTCCATGCATCTTCACGTTTTAATATTAGTAGTTGATTTTTTTTTATAAATATATTATTCCTCCATTGAGCAATTCATAAGCATATGCATATATCTTGTTTTCTTGTCTTCCATTTCTGGGTAATTCTTATTGAAGGTAATAAAAATAATTATAATTCATTTCTGGGTAATTCTTATTGAAGTTAATAAAAATAATTATAATAAGGAACAATTACAATCACCTCTCTTAAAGTTTATTAAAACAACACCAACAATCCCCTCTCTTGAGTTTTATTAAAACAATACCAACAATCCCCTCTAATTTTTATATACATACCTCATTAAAACGACACCTACATAACATGTTTAAAAAGTCTAAAAAGGAAATATACTATTCTTCTCTCTAGGAAACCAAGGTGCAACCAATCAAACATGTTACATAACATGTTTATTTTTGTATAATACACATGCAAAAGTAATGCAAGGTTTCGAAATTCTTAGCATACAAAAGTTACAATACAACAATCCAACAGTCTTACTTTCTTCCACCAAAGATGTATTCATTCATAAGAAAAAAGTATAAACATTGATAATTATTTGATTCTGGAAAGTACTACAACCTCAGTAACTAGACAAGACAGAAAGCAAACAGAAGCCATCAGTGAGCAACAACATTACTCAGGAAATGTGAGAGTATTGACGAGAGTCTCGAATTGAGGAAAACGTGAAACGAGGTATGAACGTTTAGCTAGTTCAAAATCCTGGAACTGAAAACCAGGTGCACAAGTGCACCCCACAAGTGCGTAATGACTCTCACCATCTCTTTCTGGACCCTTAAAAAATGATCCATCCGCAGAGACAGTAAAATCACCGGTCGGATAAGAACCAAACCAGACATTAGGAGGAACAGTGTATTGCGGTTTCTCATCCTTAGTTAGATCAGATCCAAGACATGTAAACTTAACACTTGAATCTGTCTCATTCAATTCCACAACCTACAAAAAAACAATTATTGTTATTATACTAATAATTTAGAACAATAACAAAACTTGATGAAAATGGAGAAGAATTACGGTGATGGGTTCTCCGATGTAATGATGCCAGGTTTCGGAACAAGGGATACGATGAAGGCGAGACATGTTACCAGATGGAAGAAGAAAATATATGCAAGTTGAAACGGGACGATCAACTTTATCTGTTGAGAGAGAGTAAACGAATGATTAATAATTTGTATGAAATGAAATGGAAAAGAAAGGTTAGATTTGATTACATTCGGGAGGGAGGATAGAGGTGGAAAGCTGAACGGAGTGATCTCGGAATGTTTCAGCGTAAAAGCCACCTTCTGGATGAGGAAGAAGGTTCAGTTTCTGGGCGATCTCCGATGCCAACAAAGACATTCTTCCAAACAATCAACCGCGGATTTTGGATTTGCGATTAGGTTTATGTTATGTTCAGAGTTGAACTTGAATCATATAAGGAGTAGGTGAATGTGAAGGCTGCAGCGGCAACATTACCCCACGTACCGACAGCCCTTTAATATTACTATTATTTTTTTGCCGAACCGTGGACCGCTAGTAATTGTTCGACTTGGACTGGCGGCTTCTCTTCACTAGTATGTGTTGTTGAATGATGGATTAATCAACGGTTAAAAGAGTAAAAAGATAAAATAATTAAGAATGAGCTTAGATTTGCTTCATTTATCCTACCGACATCTATTTATTTATGAGACAAATACAAGTGATAAATGAATACAATTTATTTAATAACGGACTCCCCTATTGATTTTCACTTCACTTGTGTTTATTGTTGAGATTCTCTTGTGTTGAACTAATATGTTGTTTAATGAAATAAGGTGTGTCAAAATTAATTTAATATTTGTCGAGTTATTTGTGTTGAAGTGTCTAAACAAATTGATTTTTATAGAATTTCGACTTAAGTCTGAATAGTTACTTTGTCCTTTTATAATTTTGGGTTTTGACTCAGAGAACAAGCAATCTCATTATAAATAGAGAAACCAACCCCTATTTTTGTATAATTCGTATTTCCATAATTTTACAATTACAAAGTGAATAAATTTTTTTTACAGTTTGTGGGCAGAGAGAAACTCTGTAGAAAATCATCATCTTCCTCAATTTTGTCAAACCCTAATTCTTTCTTTCATTGTTATTGTGTATTGATAATAATCTTGTTCATCAAGATTGATAGAAATTCTCCATAGGTTTTTGTGGATTACTAACATTTGATATCTAGAGCACTGACTGAACGATTCATGAGAAGAAAATCACGATGACAATGAATAATCCGAACATACATTTCTCAGTAAAGTCTTCCAAATCTGAAAGTTGATAACTATGAGAATTGGTGCAAGCAGATGAAGATCATTTTCTGTTATCAAGATCTTTGGTATCTTGTGAAAGTAAGAGTATAACTACTTGCAGAAGACGCGACAGATGTAGAATAAGTTGCACATAAAGAATTGTAGAAGAAGAATTATATAACTCTCTTTATAATTCATCAATGTGATAGTCTCGATAATTTCGAAAAGGTGAATGATGTAGAAGCTGCATAAGAAGCCTGGAAAATTTTAGAAAAGTCTTTTAAAGGTGTAAAAAAGGTGAAAGCGATGAGGTTACAAACTCACAAAAGAACCTACGAATTACTTCAGATGAAAGAAAGTGAAAGCATAACTGATTTTTTCACTAGAGTTACAAAACTGATGAATCAAATCAAGGTATATGGAGAAGTATTGACAACAAGATCAGTTGTCGCAGAGATCTTGAGGTCATTGGCTCCAAACTTCGATCATGTGATGGTAGCCATAGAAGAGTCGAAGAATTTATCGATATTGACAAAAGAAGAGCTTCAAGGAACTCTTGAATCTTATGAACAAAGAATGTCTGAAAGAGTTGTAGGTAAGTCAAAGAGTGATGTGGCTTTGCATGCATAATCAACAAGAGAAAAGAAAGATAAATGAAAATGGTTCGATAATAAAGGTAGATGTGGCTACAACAATTCGACTGGTCGAGAAAACCATCAGGAAGGAATTGTGTAGAACCAAAGAAGACCCTTGTTACCAAAACAGTGAAAGAGGTGGTGCTGGAGGTAGAGGAAGAGGTGGTGGTTGAAAGTCTGACAAGAGTCACATTTAGTGTTTCAATTGTCATAAGTATGGTCACTATTCTAGTGATTGTCCAGAAAAAAATAATCAAGAAAGTTATGTAAAGTTTGCAAAATATGAAGAAGAATAGATGATGTTGATAGTCATAACAAGAGATGAAGAAAGATTCAAAGATCAGTGGTACTTAGACTCAAGATGCTCATCACACATGTCTGGAAGGAAAGATTGGATTATCAACATAAATCCCTCAATGAAGAACACGGTGAAATTTGTAAATGATAATACTTTAGAAGCTGAAGGTATTGGTGATATTCTGATGATGAGGAAAGGTGACAAAAGGTCAGTGATTTCAAATGTATTATACATATAAGACATGAAAAGTAATATGCTAAGTATAGGGTAATTGGTTGAAAAGGACTACAAGGTGACAACTTAAGACAAGTTGATGATAATTCTCGAATCAATAGGAAGGTTAAACTTGAAGGCTCATATGTCTCAGAATATAATCTTCAAGATTGAACTTAATATGATAGAGCATAATTGCCTTGCGATTGCAGCTAGCAGGGATGAATGAATATGGAACTATCGGCTATGTCATCTCAACTTCAAAGACATTAAAGCTTTGAAAGGAAGAAATATGGTTTTAGGGTTGCCTGAAATCGACATTCCAAATAAGGTATGTGAGGAATGTGTGCAGGAGAAGCAACACACGAATAGCTTCAGCAAAGATGAAAGAAGCAAGTCGAAGACTATTCTTGAAATCATATACTCTAATGTATATGGTCCTATCCAGATTTTCGATTGGAGGTAACAAATACTTTGTTACATTCATAGATGATTTCAGTCAAAAAATGTGAACTTACCTGATCAAGAAGAAAAGTGAAGTGATCGAGGTATTTGCCAAGTTTAAATCTATGATCGAAAGACAAAGTGGTCGAAAGCTCAAGATTTTAAGGACTGATGGTGGTGGAGAATATGTGTCGAAAGAATTCGACATGCTATGTGAGAAAGAAGAGATTGTGTATAAGGTAATAAGACCATCATGGATATGGTAAGAAGTATGTTGAAATGCAAGCATTTACCTAAAGAGTTTTGGGGTGAAGCTGTGTTGACTGCAACATACATTTTGAACATATGTCCGAAAAAGAAGCTAGAAGAAATAATGCCAGAAGAATGTTGGTCTGGTGTCAAACCAAGTTGAGTCATCTTAAAGTGTTTGGATCTATAGCACATAGACATTTTCCAGATCAGATGAGAAGAAAACTTGTGACAAGTCGAGTCAAATGATTATAATAACATATTATTTGACTGAAGGTTACAAGTTGTTCAACTCAGTAAACAAGCAAGTAGTGATCAGTAGGGATGTTATCATAGATGATATTAAGGAATGGAATTGGATTGAAAATGTAAAAAAAGATTTGGTGAGAACCTTATGTGAAGAACCAACCACAGAGGTCGAAAGAGAAGAAGTTTGACATGAATAAGTGAGAGGTGAAGCAGGCCCAAGCAAACCTCAAAGAACAAGGTGCATGTCTTTAAGATTGCAATATTGTGTGATTACATCAGATGATATGGTCGATAATGAAGGTAAGTCGGTAAATTATGCTTTCTATGTAGATGTTAAATCAGTCAATGCAGCTGAGGCATTAAAGGATTAAAAGTGGGTGAAAGAAATGAATGAGGAATTGAAGTCCATCGAAGTCAAAAACACTTGGTCACTTGTCGAATTTCCTCAAGACAAAAAGGAAATCGATGTGAACTGGGTACATGAAATTTTCTGTTATAGACAACACACGGTGATACTTATATCCTAACATCAGAATAATGTCAAGGAAGATGTTACAACATCTGATTTGAGATAGTGACATGTTAATTCTGGTAAATTTTCTCCTCTGGATGTCAGACCTTTATTGATTTGCTTGTTGTTGTGGTTGTTGAGTAAAAGTTGGATTGGAGATTAGAACTGCACTTACTGAATGATGACGGTCCTTACTAGCATGACTCCTTGATCCACACACAACATTAGTCTCTTTTTTTACCAATAAATGAATTTTTTACAACATTTGAGGTGGAGGCCATGGGTATCTTCCCGCTTTTAATCCCGCTTTCAACCCTCTCACCAGTCAAGATCAATTCAGTGAATCCGGATGATGAACTTCCAATCAGTAAGTTGAAAAATGGTCCAATCAATGTTCCCATAAACATGTCTGCCAACTCTCTATCAGTTAAAGGTGGCTGCACCCTGCCATCCATGTCTCTCCATTTTTGAGCGTATTCTTTGAAGCCCTCGTTTGAACTCATGGTCATTCCTTGTAATTGCACCCTAGTTGGCGCAAGATCGGCGTTATATTGATATTGGAGGTAAAGGATAGTGGCCAAATCCTCCAAAGTATGGATGCCAGTCCCTTCCAATTGGTAAAACCACTCCAACTGCGTCCCAACTAGACTTTCTTGAAAAAGTGCACCCACAGTTTCTTATCAGCGGTATGCAGCTGAGTTTTGTGGACGTAAGATCTTAGATGAAGCTTCTGGCATGAGGCACCATCGTACTTGGAAAAAACATGGATCTTGAATTTGTGGGGAATGACTACACCAAGAACCAAACCCAAGTCACCAAAGTCCAAGCCAGGCACAACTTGGATTTCCATAGCTCTCAATCTGTCTTCTAGTTGTTTATACTTGTCGTCAGTGTAATACCCCAAATTTGTCCCACCCTTTCACTTTTATCTAGCGTGAGTTTTTGCATTCATCGACATACCCTCCATTAGATCATTTAACACATCGTGTATCATTAATCAGTAAATTTGGCATGAGAACAAGGATCCTGAAGTTAGGGTTTTGTATGTGTTTTTAGACTCTTATCTTCATTCAGGCTTGAATCAATTGGTTTATCATTAACTGTGGTTTGTGGAGCTAGGGTTTAGATTCTTGATCATTGAGAACTTCTCTCTCTCATTAAGCTGCAAAGTTGTTATCTTCATACAATTGAGATATTTTCTTTAATATGTGAGCTAGGGTTTAAGGTCAAAGTCATCTTGAATATTTTCTTCAAGGATCCAAGACATTGTTATTGCTCATACAATCGAGGCATGGTACAAGATGCAGATTATAATCAAAGCGCCATTCTTTCAAATTGTTTGTTTCTTGTCATGCGAGTTAATATTGGATTAAGGTTGAAGTGGATTTAAATGATTCCATGGATTCAAACTTGGTCCAATTCATCAAAGTTGTTGGAAGCATACATGTGATTTTGTGGAATTATTAAGGCATTAAAGAAGG